CTGCACTCCAGCCTGGGTGACAGAGTGAAACTTGACTCAAAAAAAAAAAAAGAAAAACTTGTTCTATTTCCAATGTGGCATCATGGGAAGAGCTGGCCCTGGTCCTCAGCCCATCCTCTGAGTCCCTGCCCCAAGGAGATCCCCTGCATGCACACGTGGGCACCCTGTGTGCAAACTGCCCACACCCTGCAACCAGCTGCCCCTTGGCCGCCCACTGGTGACACACTTCATGAGGGAATGGGCCTGGGGTCATTTGAGCAGGGCACTCTGGGCCCCATGTGTCAGGGATGTGGTCTAAAGAGAGGCCCTGCAGAGTCCGCATCCTGAGGGGAGAGCCATAGGCAGAGGGTCTGGACAGGCACCTTCCAGAGCAGGGACCCGAGGCTGAGGGTGGAACTGGACATTAAGCCACTGACTCCATGGTCAGCCGTGTTGGTACAAGAACTAGAAACAAGGTGCTCAGAAGGTGTGTCACGGAGTGTGACTGTTGCCTAGTGACCCGAGGTCCCTCTGCAGAAGCCACGTTGGAACCCAGCAGTAAAGAATGAAGGGGAGTCAGCCAGGCTGGGGTTAGGGGAAGGGTATTTGTCAGCGGGAATGGCACATGTAAAGGCCCGGCAGCAGGAAGGCTTGTGGGAAGAACAAAATCTCAGAGAACACCATATGACTGGAGGCCAGACAGCCAGTGGGTCTGGGTGCAAGGTGTGGCTTGAGAGCTGGCGAGGGACAGAGTGTGTGGGGCCTTGTGGGCCACCCTCAGTGGGGACTGTGGGCGAGGACATTGGGTCACCAGGACCATGGGCTGGAAGATGCTCAGACGGGGAAGCCTTGGGAGTGTCCACTCCCCACCCCACTCCAGGCTTCTGACTCCACCAAGGCCTCGGCCGGGAAAGGATGTAGCAGCAGGCAGAGAAGTCTGGAATCGTCACATTTTTGTTACCAGGAGGAGCTTCAGAAATCACTCACCTTTGGGCATGGTGGCCCACGCCTGTCATCCCGGCACTTTGGGAGGACAAAGTGGGAGGCTCACTTGAGCCTGGGAGTTCAAGACCAGCTTGGGCAACATAGCAAGACCCCATCTCTGGAAGGAAGGGAGGAAGGGAGGAATCACCCACCACCAATGAGGAAACCCCTGAAGGGACATGGCTGTGACACCTGTGCTCACGTGGCAGGTTGGCGGCAGAGCCTGGCCCGGAGCTGCATTGGCGTGTTTGAGGGTGACCACACCAGCGTGTGCGTGGTCAGCCCTCAGGTGCACAGCCAACGTGTTTTGAATGAATTGGATTTTGTCCAGAAACACAAAGCTACTAGAGACAGTGTTCGCCCTCTTGAAGCACCATCTGGCTGGGGGAGACACAAGGAGCCACAGAGGCACATGGTAAGGCTGGCACGGGGCCTCTCCCCAAGCCCACCCCCTCCCAGCAGAGTTCCCCCCCATCCTCCTATAGCCCAAGGGTTGTCCCAGAGCTACTCTTGGAAAGGCCACAGTGCCCCCTGTGGTCGCCTAGTCCAGTGACCACGCCCAGCCCCCCTCCCCACCATGCAAGTGGAT